CAAAACTATGAGACATCATGTTTGAACATGTGTATTAATAAATTCTGAAACCACAGCAGAAACTGTGACTGTAGACAGGTAAATAAAACTGACTCATCACCTTATAAATGTGACCTGTGTGACATCGGTAAAATATTGTTATTGCTACTTTAATATTTTGCCACAGAAGTTTGAATATTGAACTTGGTGAAGATTGGTCTGTATGTCCTCTACATCTTTACTTACAGGGCATCTGCTGAGTCTCTAAAAATGACATGTGATCTGTGAGAATCATAAGAATTAAATCAACCTCCTGAGGCTTTCTCCTTCCCTTGTGTCAGAATGCTACATGTTATAGCCCTAAGCAAAACAAGTCCATTGTAGTGGTCTGGTTTTGTGTCTTGTCTTGTCGCTTTTCTGATAAAAAAAAGGTTATGCCTGGAAGGTGTGTTTTTTTCAAGTGAAGGAACTGAGGTAATTTAAATAACACATATAAATATATGTTATATATATTAAATAATATATTTTAAAAACTAAATTACTAGAGAAGAGTTCTCAGTCATGCTGTGATATCAGTTCAAACATTATTACTGAAAGTATTTTGAAAGTCATTTGACAGGGGCTTGCTCCCTTGCCCCAGTAGGACTGGGGGAAGAATAGGACGAGCAAAAGTGAGAAACTTGTGTAGTTGTGTGTTGGTAAGGACAGTTTAATGAGGGAAAGAAAGGAGAATAAATCCCCCAAGGAACATAGATCAATGCCTAGCCAGTCTCTGAGCAGACAAATCATCATCTCCCTCAGATTTTGTTGTTAAGTGGTGTATGTGGGAAATCTCGCTTTGGTCGCTTGGAGCCAGTTGTCCATCCCAGCTGCGTTCCCTCTCTACATTTTGTGCATCCTAAGCCCACTTGCTGAGGTGGCAATGAGAAACAGAAGACCCTGACATTGTGTCAGTGCTGCTTAGCTATGGCTGGTATGTTATCAGCATTGGTTTAGTTACAAACCCCTTACAAACACTGCACCTTAGAAGCTGTTGGAAGACAATTAACTACATCTCCATTTGTGCTGTAAGATAAGCCAGCAGGAAAAATACTGATCTGGTTTAACAGAGACCTTAGGCTCGAACTTGTGACAAAAAAAGAATGTAGCATGTCTGGAAGGATGAACAGGTAATTTGAGGGAACTACAAAGATGTTGTCAAGTATGTGGAGAGAAAATTAGAAGGGCCAAAACTAAACTGAACCTTAATTTGGCCACTGTGGTTAAAGACTAGGTGATCCTGAAGGTCTCTTCCAACTTTGATGATTCTGTGATCTCAGCCAGATGCAGCACACTGTTATTGCTGTAGTACAAAATACGGTAAAACTTTAAATTATCCATGACTCATGAGCCATGGCCTCTGACATGAGATCTGCACCAGTGCAAGACTGAAAGCTGGCTATACATAGGTACAGTGCTAGCTAGTGTCAGAATTTGTCTTGGAACCATTAAGTTTTATTATGCTACAAACAATAATAGTATGTAAATTAACATGGTAGTTACGGGAAAAATTTTTGGCATTGCCTTGGTCATACAGCATTACTTAGGGCCATTGATTAAATTGTGTTAATTCCAGGATCAATGATTGTCAATATTTTGGGATGTGAAGGCCTTTTTAATAGTGTGATGTCGGGATCTTTGTGCCACCAAGACTTCTTTGAGTGTTTCATTAAATATGACCTTCTAATTGAAATAAGACCTTTGTCTTTATGCATCTCAAAACTGGCAAAAGATGCAGTGCTAAGAAGTGATTACATGCTGAGGCCAAATTTGAAAACAATATATTCTTAAGAATGAATATTTGAGGTAATGAAAACAAAGTAAAAAGGCTTGTAATAGAGATATCTCAGAATTACTTGTAACCCAACATCTATAATGTATATTATAGAAATTATATGGAGTTTGTTGATAATTCAACAGTTGCTAATGTTTGAAAAGGACTAGGAATTTTAAGGTAATTTTGTTAGAATTTTAAGCTTCTTTTTTTCTTGTCAGATCAGTGGTAGTTGCACTGGTTTGACAAGAAGCGGTATAGATTTGTTTCAGGAATTAATCAAGAATTCCTATTCTAGTTGGCTGGCAGCAGCAAAGTGTGTCCCACAGGAATAACTCTGATAGCAACATCTAAGTTAGGAAAATGGCTTTGCTAACAAAATATCCTATACATTTGACAGCAAAAGTAAAAAACAAAGATAAAATCTCAAATCCTAGTGTTACTGGTACTAATAAAGGCATTGTTATAAATCAGTATAATACAGAAGTCATGTATTGCACTGATTTCATTTAGGTAGCTTGCATCACCTATGTATACTTATTAGTTTAAAAACAAACAATTTTGAAATACACAGGGGGGAATGTTTTCATTCAAAATCCTGCAACTGGCTCCAGAATGCATTCTGAATCACAGAACAATGTTCTACTGCCTTCAGTACACTCATCGGCAAAACCTGTGTTGCTGAACTCTTGAGTCTGTACTTTTGAGTTTGGATATGGGTCTTTCAGTTTCTAAAAGCTGTGTGGCTTGAGACTGAACATTTCCGTATTTGGAGCATGAACTAACATATAAATTAGAGCACTAACAAGTAAACAATTTAGCACATGAATACATTAGCATATGATGGATGAGAAAATAACAGAAGGAAAAGCAACTTAAAATCATAGGGAGACAATAATTTTTAAGGCACTTATTTAGTGATAAAATTTATATCAAAACATTATACCAATAACATGAAGGAAGGAGGTTCAAAAATAGCTAGTCTCTCAAAGTCCAGTTTTAAAGTCTGTAAAGTAGCCTTATTTTTCACATATGCTTTGTGCTCCACATATGCTTTAGTGTATTTGAACTGCTCAAGGGACAGAGGAATTGAAGTGCAAGTCCTCCATATGAATGATCTGCTGTGATTATATATAAAGTGTATGCTTGCATATTAAAATTTATTCGTTGCAATTTTCTCTTTCTGTGATTTTTGTTTAAACTTGCTTTTTCTTTATTCTTTTTTTAATTTTTTTTTTCAATTTTTTTATTTCTTTTTAAAAAATTGATGCTATAGATTTCTCCGTGTCTTTCTGATACCTTTTTTTCTGGCACGTTCATTTCTGGAATTGTGGACTAAAAGCCAATCACACTGGAGTTGCAGTTTCCGAATTCCACTGTTGCTATCAGCTTGCTCATTCATCATGAAATTCTTTTGGAATTTGGAGACACCAATAACATTTATGTAATAATGTCAAATGACTATTGCCTGGCAGTTTCTGTGTTTTCTAAGGCATTGAAGTGAATGTTTAACATTGTTTATTATCATGCTTTTTTTTGTCTGTTTTTGTTTTTTGTTGGTTTTTGTAGCCTATTCAAGTGGCTTAACAGGTAATTTTCTTGCTATTTTGCTCCTTTAATTTACATTTCCTCTTTGCATCAGGTTACACATGTGCGTCTTCTAGAGTGCTCACTAATGCCTGAGAGAGTTCTCTTTTTAGAACATGGGAAGCTGATTCAATTTGATCGAAAAAGTAGGGTTGAACTTATTTTTCCATTGTCAAATATATCTCCTATATGTTGCAAGAGCCAATTTACTCTTAGACCGTTGCAAATGCTACAAAAACATGTGATTTAACTGTATTTTTCTTTTCATAGTGTGTGCTTTTCTTTTTGGGGCTCCCTCTTCTCTTAGTCTGTTTCCTTGTATGAGCTTAGTTCAAGTTGCTCTAGGTCCCTGCCCATTACATGTCAAGTTTCCTCATTCCTCTCAGCTCTGCACTTGCAGATAGGTTTATGTACGAAATAGTTTGTTGGAAATTCTGTGGTTGAAGGGACCCACACTTGAATCAGAAAATCAGACAAATTTCACTGTACCTGCTCTCCCCAGATTTGTGGCAGTGTATTTTTATTTGCAATGATTAAATTTTATTTAATACAGAAAAATGTTAAGTTGGGAAATGGTAGGAAAAAATATCTTGGAATTGGATGAGTCTGCTGTGCCTTTGTTGAAATGTATTAGCAAATGCTCTCTGATGACTGTTTCAGATACACTAGAGGCTGTAGAATACTTTATCCAAAATGCCAATAAACAGGCTTCATAGTCCTGTAGTCAGTTTCTAAGAGATGAAGGTATTCTGTAGGAAAAGAATTTTGAGGAGCTGATCGGCTGCTGTTGAGATCTATCTTAATAAGATGAGCTTCACTAGGATGATCAAAAGAAAACCTTCTTTGCTCATTTTCAACTCACCCAAGGTGTTTGTGTTGACAGTCGTGGTTCTACTTGAGTCATGGAAGTTGAATATTCTAGGAGGATCTTCTGAAAATGGATTAGTACTCTTGTTTGCTAGTCAACAATTTTTAAATAAAATTGTCTTGCTCAGCTTTTGATGAAATCTTTTTGTCATAGTTGCATAAATATTAAACCAAAATTACTTCAGTTATAAAAATGATGAATTATGCTGATGTTTAATATAATTTCATTGAACTAAAGAACCTAAGAAATAGGTAAGGTAGGAGCTTGGTAGCCAGGACAGTTTTGAATAACTCTCTCCAGGTGGGAAACAAAATTTCAGGTTTTGAATAAAGAGGTATACTGGTGTTTCTGCATGCAGAGAATGTCAATAAGCTTTAAAAAAAAAATCTCTATTTGACCACAATGAAGCCTGACACATTCTTATTTCAAGAACATTTCTGTTAGAAATGGATTTTGATTCTGTAGAAGATGCTTTGTCTTATTAATGATGGCATTATAAGAATAGTTACTTTGCTAAAGACATACCAAAACATTATGTACATTTAAGAACATTTTTTGGTTTACTGTACTAATTCATGTTTTGTGTTCGAAGTAGCATGTTATTTGATATTCCAGCACATATCCTGTTGAACCAATAACACAGAAGGAAGATAATTCCCATCTAAAGGAGCTTAGTCTAAATTATACTGTTTTTTCCATCTTATTTGCACTATAAAAAAATAACAGTAGAGTATTTTTGCTTGTGTCTTCTAGTCTCTAACTGGAGAATTACATCACAGTGTACAAGAGCTGAGAACAAAAATCAAACTGGCAAAAAAACTGGGAGAAATGAAAGCATGCAAAAAGGGTCTTTCCCAAGAGAGTTTTCAGTTAGCACCGTCTATCCTCAATGTTTCAAAAAGTGATCTTTACGAAATACTACAAGAAAGAGATGATAAGGTAAGTTATTTTAAGGACTTCAGTAAAAAAAGCATAGATGAGAAGATGCTGACTATATCCCTCCTTGAAGAAAAGCATTTGCAGGTAAAGCCTGAAATTTCATTGTGCAAGATACAGCACAGAAATCAAGAAGGATTTAATCTAAATGAAAAAGTCAGGTTAGAGATTCATAAGGTGGCAAGACTTACAGTATGCATAAATATACACATACTGCTTTGAGCATGTGTATTTAGAGATATTATTCACTATTTTCCTTTTTTTTGAGGCCATTTGGCAGGATTGTATGTTTTAAATAGACTTCTGCATTAAAGGAAACAAAATTAGAATGTATGTCTTGCTGTGCCAGATTGATTTTGTTGATACTTCCTCTCTGAATTGTGATACCTATTAAAGGTATTTCTGGTAGATAGATGGTTTCTGGGTGAATTCATAGTAGCCTTTTTTGTTGATTCTATGATACATTTTACTATGAAATATTTGATAGTGTTTCATCAAATCACTCTATTAAATATATGCAGTATATATTTCTTATCCAGATTTATTTAGTCCTGATCAAATAATATATGAAAAAGCCTGTACAGCAAGTGTCTAGGAGCTGGCCATTATTGGCCTGTAACAGTACTCTGGTGGTGACTTAGATTTAGCCTTGTTGAAACTTTATATTAAAGAGGCCACAAGAAGGAAGTTTTCCTCTTGGTGAAACAACAGTGCGTGGTATGTGTATGCACGGATAGGGATTACACTCATGAATACAAATAAAATGGGCTGATCCCTGCCATGTTTACTAACATTTATACAACCCTATAAAGTGATTCACTTTGACAGAGTTGTTCCATGCTTAGCTCATTCTCAGAGTAGTTTCTACATCCTGTATCTTTTTGTTTTAGTCACTGTGAATATATGTGTAAAACACATAAACATACTTAACTATAAATATAAACCAAATTTATTAGACAGGAGATGAATTTAAACTACACATACACTACATATTCTATCTATCAGTACATAGACTCAGGCACTTTTATGTTGAACTCATACAATTTAGATATAGATCTCACATACACCAGTATATTCATATGGAAAGAACATGCTATGCACATTTCTAGAGGCATGCATAGACAAGGGTAGGTTTAAAAATTTAATAGAGCACTGATACTTGATGAGTATGCTTCAGATAACTAATTTTGCAAATGTGATTCTGACTTCCACATGCTCTATATTTAATGTATACCTAGTTACACATTTCCTTTATTGCTCCTGATGTTTTTATATTTTTAGGAAACAGCAGAAACAGAAATGGAATTTGAAAAAGATAAAGAATGGCTACAGCATATACAGAAACTTCTTGAAGGACAGGCACTCAATTTATATAATCCCACAATGAATTATCAATTTCTGCTCTGATCAGCTATGTGTTTTTAGGTTGTAATTAATACACTGTATTTGTAATTATGGTGTCGTTGATGGTCTCAGACTATACTGTGATGAGCAATGTGAAATCCTTGTTTTGTAGCACTTCCTTTGTATTTCTGTTAAAATCAGAGTTACTGTGTAAAACTGAAGAGATGTTAATCAAGAATTTGTGATAGCTAACTTTACAAGTAACTTAAGCTAACATAACCAGTAAAACAATGCTGGAGAAAACCAGCACAGGTCTTGGCAAATGTGTTAATTGAATTATTGAAACACTGTATAACGCTTGCTAGAGTGAAAATGATCTGTTCTCTCATAACTCTTAGGAAAAAGAGACTTTTTTTTATGTGACTTTAAAGTTACTAGTTGTTATGGACACCTGAGGAGTTCATGGGTTTCTGTGACCTTTTACTGTGGACCTGTTTCCAGTCAATTCATGTTTTCCTCATAGCCAGACAGCTGTTTATTATCGTGTCTTCTCGCATTCTCTACAATATTTTCTACTGAGACCTCGAGCAGCTTGTTAGTGGGAAGTAAATATTGATTTGGCATCCTGTCAATGCAGAAAGAATGAAAAAATTTCCACCAGAGGCCCCTCAAACATTTTCCTATCGACATTTTCTGGGCAGAGAGGAAAGCTGCATAGAGGATGACAAGTCTGAGACTAGCAGAAATCCCTGAGGGGTCCATTGAGACTGCTGCTGTGACCTGTGTGATACTTTTTCTTCTCTTTCAAGTCTTTTTTTTTAATACACACAGAGTCTGCTGGGATGCTCCCCTCTTGTAAGTGATCAAGGGCAGTTTATTGGCAGGTGAGAGCCCAGCTTTTCTACCCGTAGTCAGCTTTTGTTTGGACATCACTGACAACATACCCTGACTCTTAAAACTTTTCTGCTACATTTTTAGTTTTCTCTTTTATTTAAATGATGGGCACCTGATGTCTGGAAAGAAATAAAACTTGATTTGTAAATCCAGTGCATAATGCATATTCACTAGCATGGGTCCATTAGTGATGTAGTTAGTATCAGTTAAGAATGTGAATGATTGAAAATATTTTAAAAGCCATTTTGAAGAAACACACACATCAGATTTATGTATTTAACCATCAACAACTTTTGTGTTGAGATTGTATCTTGTGGACAGATTTTTAAGAAATGACAGGTTTTCCCTCTTTCGTTATCAAAACTTACTGCTGTGAAGACTGCTTAATTGCTGCAGCAGAGGAAATAGAAATAGTAAAATGCTTTTACTGGCTTTGTCAAAAAAAAAAACGGCATTTTAATTAAACCTCATAATGCTACATGAAACTCAGCATTAAAAGCACAATTCTTTATATTCACTTAATTGCTTCAATTTTAAGAATTAAAAATAGATATATAAATATCAAGATTCTGTTCATGTTATAGGCTCCAAAATATGAATCAGATCCATGGAATACAATGAAGATTTCTTGTTCTGTTTTTCATTGTTATTTGTTAAATCGCTAAAAATATTCAGCAGAATTTTATCACTTTTCTTCATCTGCTATACACAGACAGCAAAAACCAGGGGATGGAGAGTGAAGGAGCTGTTGAATGAAACCAGGTACATTAAGATTGCAAATGTTGTATAAGGATAGAAGAGCTCATTGTTCTTAGCCATGTATGTTTGTGTACAAGTTAATAGTGATTTTCTGTGATTTTTGCTCCATCTTGTGGGGTTCCTCAGAAGAAACACTGAGGGTAGAAGTAATTTTTGGCAAGCGGACCATTTTTAGAATTGCAAGAGGATTATAGTGGTTTTGGGGAGCAGCCAGCTCTGCTTTTCATTTCTGTCCATGCTAAGGCATATAAATGGAAACAGTTAAGATTTCTTCATCTGTATTTGAGAGCAGCTCATGGAACAGCTCTGTGCCCTTTAAAATGCTTTACTCATATCTTGCAGAGTTTGGTTGTGGTTTCTTTTAGTAAGCTTTGGTAATATTTCTGATCAGCAAACTAAAGCCCACGGTGAAATGTAAGCTTTCCGCAGGGCTTTGCTCATAACAGACTGCCTGCTAAGTGTTACATGTTGGCAAACTGTGCTACCCATTTGCATCTTGAACAGAGATGCGGGATTGCCCTTTTCTGTTTTTCTGAGTAAACGTTCAGTGGAAAATTGCATCAGATCACTTAATATTGCAGTTTGATATAGTGTCTTTTTGTGCCATTTAGCCAGGACTTTGAAACATAATTGCCCAGCAGTATTGATTTAATTGCCGAGGTTTATTTGTGGACTCCTAATTATTGACTGGAGGTAAATTTAATGGAGAAACCTTTATGAACACTGGGAAACTGCTGCTATTGCTGTTATACATAATGAACTGCATCATATCCCTTTAGATCATTCTTCAAGCTAATTTTATTCTACTGTGACAGTACGATAACATTTAAAATGTCATAGACATTTTATTTTTATTACTGACATACACCATTTTACTGCTGCACTAGAATTTTGGGGGGGACTGAGTGAAGCACTAGTTGCTTTTTACTGTCATTTTATAGATTCCCCTAAAGTGAAATGATAAAGGATACCACTCTGTTTTCACTTCATCTGTACCTTTATTTTCCATAATCTTATGACTTGGAAAAGTCTCATATCTTTCAGCTTTACAAGATTATTAGTATTTTAGTGATAAATACTCCTACATTCCTGAAACTGACAGATACCAGCCAGAGTTTGTGTCCTTGTTTTATCAACTACTATTTCAAGAAACTAGACCACTACTAAGAGGCTTATGGTTTGAAAGAGACATCTCTGCATAGTGATGTTATTATGTAAACAGGAATCATATAATAGGGAAGTACAGTCATGTTATAAACTCAGCAGAGCTGGTAAAAATCACTTGTCTAAATCTACGTCTTTAATGGCCAAGAGTGGGTTTTTTCCCTGCTGTCTCTGTATTTATACAGTAACACTCTAGATTGTTCTCACTAAAGAATGAAAGAAAAAAAAATAAATCATCTCAATAATTGACACTGGGATAAAAGGAAAAGGTTCTCTGGCCTGTGAAGAACCTGTATGCAGACAGTTTTCACATGACTGCACGAAAATACCTAATACCTGCATATGTGTAGAGGCATCAGACTAATTACACATTACTGTTTGGGCTTGGGAGAATTCTCGTGTTATAGACGTTTAAGCTTTTAGTGGTTTATATTATTTAGGGGGGAATAAGTATGATCATTTCAACATGTATGGGTATTTACATCCTGCCAGGCAAGTTATGAGGCTGTTTATCCCTCACATCTGAGTGTGTATGTCTTATTAATTTAACCTGGCTCTTTATAGTAACACTCTCTTCTTATAATCATAAACACTCCCCCTAAAACTCAAACAAAAGCAATCTTTTCTAGCTTTTTCCCATCATAGAAAACTTACGGCTAAGCCAAGAGGATGACTTCTTCTCATGTAACTTAAACATGATTTCTTACACAACCCTTGGCTTTCATTTACTGTGACTTATTGTAAGGCACACTGTCTCAGAAAAATCTGTTAATGATTTTGTGTGTGAATACAGCATGGTAGCCCAATCCAGATTACTGCCTCCAAGAAGACTCCAAGAATTTTTTTTTAATAAAATGCAAATCATATGCCTAAGTTTTTACAGCAGCACTTGCCTTTCCTCTCTCCTCATGCACTCCTTGGGATATGACATCTCACACTAACATAGCAGTCTAATAAAATCTTTCCTCACGTGACTTCATTATGGGTCTAAAAATCATATTCCAATAGTGAAAACTTCCAGAAAGGCTCCCTTTCCTCTACTCTGGCAGCACTCTTTGTGTAACACATCTCTAGCATAGGGTTTAGAACAATATATTCACTAATCATCAGTAAGGATTTTCCCCAACCCCTTTTTAGGATTTGCACAGGCTTCTAAAGGCATATTTCTGTTGCTGTCATCTGGGAATGGACACTAATGGCCACAGTTGTTTCCTTCCAAATTTCTTGGCTTGAAACTCGCCTGCTTTGCTTTTGTTAGTCTCTCTGCAGTCTGTGTGTGTCTTTGAACAGCTCACATCCAGAAATGTGTATTCACAAAGTACCAATACCTGTGCACAATCACCACTGACACCATCACCTGGTGTTTCAAGTGTCTGCACCTCATAGCACCAGCAGCACCAGCATAGGCTGCACCACTTTCTGGGCACCATTAGCACTGATACCAGGTCAGATTTTCTTCTCATTATGAGAGCAAGAGCCTAATCCTGTGCACTGACAATGCATTATGGTATAAATCTATGTTTTATCTCATGCACACAAAAAAAACCTACATTATATCACTCATCCTAAACTGCAAACAAGGAGAAATTGACTTGGTCACTCAGGATAAAAGGCACATATATATTTATATAATGATGTATATGCAGCCACCATGAAGCAGAATAAGAGCAAGGAGTAAGACAACAACAGTAAAGCGAAGTTTTTTTTTTTTTTTAATTTTTGACTTTTATTTTTTTAGTGATTTTTGGATGTTTTAGTTGTTGGTCTTAGTGCCTAGTTTTATTTCATATTATTTTTTGTGGTTCACTTAATTCAATCTAAGGCAGCTCTCCAGTGTGTTTGAATAATATTTTGTTGGGAAAATGTATTGTACTGATGATTCATATGGAAAGGTGTGAAATAGTTGTAACCGCTAATTTGTCTATTCCAAAACCTAAATACTTTTATATTTATGCTAACATATTTTAGAGTTTGTGAAACAGAAGTCGAAGTAATGCTCCACTCTGCAAATGGAGATACTGTGCCTTATTAGAACAAAAACATTGCCTTACATTCATTATAATACTTTCCACTGGCAGATTGGTGTATATTTATGCACTTGTATTTATGCACTCTGTGCTGACAGAGACTCAGCCATGTGGTTTAAGGTCAATAAATATGACTAGTTTGTTTTTTTACAGAAGGGATCTCCAAAAGAAGCAAATTTAGGGTCAGAATAAATAGGCAAGAAAAGGAGAATTAACTATCACTATTTCTGGCTCTTTAGGATAACATTACCTTCCATTTATCTGTGCACCAAGATATCTGTCTGATAAGTTGTGTAAGAAATATGCTTTTCAGTTATATACGTTCCTAATATCAAAGAAGAAATTTGTCAATCTGGAAGTCAAAGAAATAAATTATTTTATCCCAGATGTAGTTTGCACATTCATTTCACAGATGTTTTGAAATCACATGAATCAATTAAATACTACTTCTGTTAAAGCCTACAGTTATGTACTGATTTAGGATCACCACAATTAATTTTAAGTGGGTTGTAGCCCAGATAATTGTAAAAAATCTGAAAGAAGTATCATTCTGTATTAAAATATCTCATGATCAGTGGTAAAAACAAGCTTTCACTCCTTAGGTGTGCGCTTAGCACTCACTGAACTTGCAAAGCCTTCCCCAAGCATATGGCAGGTTTTGAAGCTGGTATGAGTGCTTTAGAATAGAGATGACTTCAGTGGTTGTGAAGTTCTGGGGAGAAATGCAAAGGAAGGTTTCCCAGGATAGTTACAGAATCATCATTAAAGGTAAATCTGACAAGCTTCTATTAAAGGTTAAGACTGTACGGATCATCCAGTTCTGGGTGTCTGCAAGAAAAGAAAACCAGAGAGAAACATACAGCACTTTCTCTGAAACCAACAAATGTTGAAAGAATGAAATAATGTTCCACTTTCAAATGCTCTTGATTTAAATGAATCGCTTGAATGGCAAGACTTCTTGAAAGATCACTTTGCAATGACATGGAAGCCACAGAGAGTAGTGAGCAGCAAGTAAAATGTAGTTAGAATGATACAAGCCAGAGACATCAATAAAAAGCCATTCATCTCAGGCATGGCGTTAAGGAGGTGAAATGTATGAGAAATTGATGTAGTCAAGGTAAGCAAGAAGAATTAGAGACTTTGAGGTAATGATGCAGTTTTTTTCTCCCTAGAAAAAAAAGGGAGAGAAATTAGAATGAACAGGATGCTGGAATCAGTGTTTTTAAAGCATAGTAGCAAGTAAGTCACAGAATTTCAGATAAGATTATGTCTTATATTGCACTGAATAGGTTTGTGCTCAGTGAATTTGAGCCCTCTATTCCCCAAAAAGTCATCACAATAGCACACAGGAGAAAGCTGACAGGTGTAGATGTCTTCTAGAAATTTCTTAGCACACACGTAAGTTATTTATGACAGATGGAGACATGTCTGGCCAGCAAGCACCAACCCTTGAAAACCCCTTTTCCTGTAGAAAATAAAATAATACATATTGTTGTCCTTTTTCTGTAACTACAAAGTGGCAGTTGAGCAGCACTTGGGATGCCATTTTATCTCTCCACAGTACATGCCTTCTATTAACAAGACTTTTCTTTTTTAGATTTTTTTCTGACTTGTTAGCAATTATAAATATCAGTATATAGATTCGTGTCTGTATATCAGTTCAAATGCTACATTTTGTATTTGATGTGCTTTATGTCTGGGGTTTTTATTTGATTTTTTTGGGTTTTTTTATAATTTTTGATTCATGTCTATTTAGGAAACAAGTACTACTCTATCTGGCATAAGGACCATACAATTTTCTCTTTCAGATGACATAGAGAAGTGAAAAAAATTAAACTAGAGCAGCAATATTGAAGTGGAGAACTAGACAGGAGTTCTAGGTGGAAAAGTGTTGCTTTGAGCTAAATTTGTGAAAAGCAGAAAATTATGATTGGCCAGCAGCTTGTTCCACCAGCTTCTATATTTTACCTTATTTATTTATGATGGCTTTATAATGTAAAGTTATCTCTCCTTCTGAATGAGATGTTACTTTTGGTGGAGTGCTGACCCCTCACTCACCACTGGTCTCACCATGTGTTCAGTAAGCTGACAGAGTTCTGTGAAGCTGATAGAGACTTTTCAGCAGTGAAGGAAAACTGTCCTGTTCTCCTGTGGCACAGAACTGGCCACTTGGGATGGAGCTGCCATGACCACTCTTCTGTACCACCTCTAAAAATACTTCCCAGCAAACTGTGCACTGATATACCAAGATTTTGAAAGAAAACCTCTTTAAGCATTAAAGCAATGACACTGAAAAATGTACCAAATCTCCTTTGTAGACACTGGCTGTGCAAATGCATCTTTTATATCAGAGAAGTTAAAAAAAGTTTTAATTTTTCTCAGTAGATATGTCACTGCAATTTTTTGGTATCATGTTTTAGAGAAGCAGACATTTGTGTCATATTCCAATTAATGCAGTTGGAGGTTTGGGATTTTACTTTGCTTTGAGAGGTTTTTTTGTGGTTTTGTTTGTTCTGTTTTGGGGTTTTGTTCTTATTTGTTTTTTGGGATTTTTTTTTGTTTGGTTGTTGTTGTTGTTTAATTATTTACAAGGTTTTGTGTGTGAGTCTAAGGCAATTTGCTACAGCATTGAGAATTGTACTGGTAGTTCTGTCTCATCCTCCTGAGGGTAGTGAACTTATACTCATACACTACCATTTCTGCATGCCCTAGAGGTGACTGTAACCTTTTATTGATCAGCTGATTGAAGATAAATGACAGAGATGCTGGTACTGCAGTTTACATCATTAACATGGTCAGTAAAGCATGAATTGTTCAATAAGGAGTTTATCTTTTTTCATTTTACACTGCTCTTTTATCATTTTTATGATAGAGAGCAAATTTTCAGACACTAACCAGGCAGATGAACTTTAAAGATCAGAAATGTGTGTGTGGTAGTTGTCAGAACTAAGTGAAATCTGATAAAGATATTTAATAAAGGTATTTCACAAGAAAAAAAATAAAGTTTAGTGATCATTTTTCTTACTCTGTTTCTTTTCAGTTTCCTTTTGCCTCATACTTAATGGATGCTGTACTGGAAAATTAAATGAGAAGAAGAAATTGGTAGAAGAGTACAGTTCCCTCATGAAGCACACTGTATGATATTGCTAAGATTTATATTTGCAAAGTGTGACTGAAATGTGTGCTGTTTCCTCATGTCTTTCCTCTTCTCACAAAGAACTGTCAATGTGCATGTTCAATACATACACAGAAACCATGGACTAATTAATTGTTGAACAAGAGGAATTAATTAAATTCCTATTAGAAAGCAGTGTGGTATTTGATTCCTGAAGAGAAAAATTACTGCAAATCAATGCAAAGCTCGAAATTATTTTCCTTTAAATGCATTGGCAGTGAACACATGTGCAGGCTTTGCAGAGAGAGGATGTCTTTGTTATAACTAATACACATCTGTACAATTTTGAAAGAACAAAAAGCAGCCAAGTAACACCTGATTGTACTAATCAGAACCTCAGAAGTAGGATTTATAAAGGAACTGGGAATATCACTGAGATTTTGAATACCTAATTTTGTTTCTTTGTAAAGCCAAACTTTTTGATATATGCTACATGAAATGACATGCTTTTATGTTAGAAAAAATGAATGATTGCACAATAAAAATGTCCTGTGTGGAGTAATGCAATGAAAGCTGTACTTTTCTCTGAGCATACTGGAGCATAACATGTACAATGTATTTTAAAAAATACAATAAAATAAAGTTTTTTCTATTATGGTTTTTTTCACTAGTAGATCCAGTTGTTTCTCAGCTAACAGGTAGCTGCAAGCTCTCACTTGCCTTGGGGAACTAGTGCAGAGTTTTAGCCAGTTATTTCCACCAAGATTTCTCTGGCACTACTAACAAATAACTGCTGGTTCTTCACACTTTTGATCTTAGACTTTGAATTCCTCTGGACAAATCTACCTGACAAAAAATAAGACACAAGTTTCTGAGTTCATGTGTTAATAATATCTAGCTCCTATATATGTCTCATTTATTGATATCAAGTTGTTTTACAACAGATACCGTTATCCGTATTGGTGAGGAATCAGAATAAGGATTGGACTAAGTTCACTTAAATGAAGCGTGAAACGGAGGTTTTCTGCATGTCAGTCCAGTGTTTTCCTAGGATGTAGTAATGTATCTTCTAATTATGGAGTTTGCTATTTGGTGTCTCTGACAAAAGGAAGAGGTCTCTAAACTTCTGCTCAGTTGCACCTGGTGAACACAAGGGCTTGAGAGAATTTTTATTGGAATTAGAGAAAATCATGCAAACAAACTCCACCTACACCTGTAAATTAAGACTGGGAACTATCCTTGTATAAAAAAACCTGCACATCTTTAGGAATGGCTGATCAATGCAAGAAATAAGGGCCATCATATGAAATTGTGTGGTGATATATTCAAGTAAGCAAAAGGATGCCACCCACATGCAAATGAAACTGAGCTGTTGGAACTGTTTGCCTCAGGTTTTACAGAAGCTAAACATTTACATGGACTCCAATGCCAATAAAACAATGACAACAAAAATTAGGGAAGATAAATCCATCAAGACGTGGAAACCATGCTCTAATTTTGTTCAGTAATTCCAGCAAGATGTATTTGAACGTAATTTCATCAAAATGTCTATTGCAGCTTAGTGAAAAGAGCTTCAGGAGGCCAACGATCTCTGAAAATTATCCCCACTGTCTTCATTTCCACGTTGCCAAACACGCACTGGTGCAAGTCTGATCTTGATGCTGATCTTTAACACTTGATCTTTTGTCATAGTGAAAATGCAGGGAGCATCAGCTAATTCATGTAGAAAATACATCTCAAAAAGAGGGAATTTTCCAGACTGCTGTCTCTTTCTCAAATATCTTGCTTTACTGCCTCTGAAAATTTCTGTATCTCCTGGGCAGCTGGGTACAAGAAGACATCTGTTGATGCAAGAGTAAGCAAGAACACTGCATAACTAAATAACTATCTACTTCATCTGAAAAGAGAGAGCAAAATTAAATCCTTAAACCCAGCTGGAGACAGATTTATGCACAAATGTTCCTGAAACTGTAACACTGCTGTCTTTCTGAAAACTTTGCTGGAAAGTTTGCCAAATACCATTAAAATGCCTTTAAAAGATTAAGAAAGATGGTATTTTCATTAAAAAAATATTTTCTTCTCTAATTTGATATAAACAAATGAAGATGGAAATACCAGTCAACATTTTTCAGACATAAAAAGTCATGTAGTTAGAGAGATATTTGTAAGGACAACAAAAAGGATGATGCTTCAAAGAAAATAAATTTTTGCCTTTTGCTGACACAAATGTTGAGTTCTGTCTGCGATGAACATACTTGATTTTACTACTTATTTGATCTTTCTTGCACCAGCCGAACAGGAAATGGTGTCTGAAAAGATCTTTATTAGTATAAAAAGATTAAGATTCATTATTTTGGTTATATTTGATGAATATTTTTTAAATTCCCTTTCACTATAACCAAGCTCATTACACTGAGTGAGGAATTGATTCTGATTTGGGGAAAAGCATCAGCTCAACACTTTCAGATGATACTGCTAACAAAGCTAAACATTAAATATATTAAAGACAGTCTCTTTTGAACTAACTATGCCTACGGACATCCAGAAAATCCACTTAATTCTGTTTTTTCTTTTGTTAGGGTGGTTTTCCTCTCCTGGTGCTGCCTGATGCGGCCTCTAGATGGCAAACTTTCCCAAAAAATGGGCTCGGAGCGTTGATCCCTGCTGGGCTACTGTGCCAGGCAGGCCTGTCCCTCCCTCGGGCAGCAGCAGCTGGCGTCTGTGCATGTGAAATTAATGGGCTGTTTACGTATAAAAGTATTAATGGGCTGTGTCCTTACATACAGTGACACAAGTGTGAGATAACATTTATAGTCACACATATATATAAAATTTTATATGTATGTATATAGAAACGCGTGTGTGCGCGTGTGTGTGTTTATGCACACGTCCATTAAATATGAAATATGCAAAGTTGTATGGTGGTTCAGAGTTGTTTAAATGTTTAGCCCTTTCAAAAATCTTCATTATGCACTAGCAGGTCCACAGGAGGGTGTGAGAGACTGAAACGTTGATGGTTAATGTCTCAAACAATCTGGGTGTTTTGCTGTTGACGCTCAAGAAACAGCCTGTGTGCAGTGGGTGTGAGCACCAGAGGATGACCAACAAATCAACCTTTGCTTAGCAAGAAGCTGGGGTTTGAGCTAGAGAAGGGAAGAGGCTGATAAGCAGATCCTGCGAGGTGGGATAACGCTTTTAGTTCTAGCAGTGTCATCCCTTACACAACTGGCTCAGTTGTAACACTCCTCTCCCCACTCCTGCCAGGAAAAGCTGCTGGGACATTCACATTAATCATCCCTTCTGATGGAGTGTAGATGGCTCTATTATACTGACGTGAGAGAAGGGGTCATAAACCATCAAAGACCTCCAAAATGCCCCCAGAGTCATTTCTGGGGCCTTCCAGCAGAGGAATGGGGATAATCCACAGTTTTACAACATGATTCACAGTTTTGCATCAGACAGTGTAAAAGCCCCCATCCCAGGGGAAGTATCTGGGTGTTCCACCTGAACTTGAGTGTATGTTAACCCACTGAAATTTGTTTTGTGTGGTCTTCCCCTACCCCAGATCAATAAAGACTGTGGCCATCACTTCGACCAATGGACATCAAAATTGGAACAATGAAGTCTCATTGATGGATCCACAGGTGGTGATGCTTTTCTACCATTGTCCCTTCTTTCTCTTTCTTTCTCTCTTTCTTCTAATTTTTCTCAAAATATATTGTAAGCCAGACTAAAAAATTCCAGTCAATGCCTTAGGAAGTTCCTTGTTGTGTCTGGATAGGTTGAAGCTGGCTAATTGTAGGTTCGCTAAGCTCAAGTTTGTGAAGTGCCTTAATTACTTTGTTGGTGTTTTAAAATTTGCCACATTGCCCAGGGTGGATTAAACAACACTCCCCTAAACCTGCTGAGGTTTAGGGGAATAACTGAGAGCCACCAAGATAATCTGGGACTGGAGCACCTTTCCTGTGAAGAAAGACTAAGAGAGTGGGGGTGATTCAGTGTGGAGAAGAGGAGGTTCTGGGGAAAACTTAGAGCAGCCTTCCAATGTGTAAAGGGGGCCAACAAGGAGGCTGGAAAGAAAGGCTATGTTGTAGTAGCAGGACAAGGGGGAATGGCTTAAAGCTGAAGGAGAATGTGTTTAGGTTAGATATTAGGAAGAAATTCTTTACTGTGAGGATAGTGAGGCACTGGCACAGGTTGCCCAGGGAAGTTGTGGATGCCCCATCCCTGGAATTGTTCAAGGCCAGGCTGGGTGGGGCTCTGAGCAACCTGTGGAAGGTGTCCCTACCCATGGAAGGAGTTTAGAATGATGATCCTTAAGGTCCCTTCCAACCCAACCCATTCTATGATTTTGTACTCTAAAATATAAAAATGAAAGTCAAAGTATCTGGTAATCGTCACTTCTCACAGTATGTTTCTGAAATGCCATCTGTTTAACCCACACAAATCCTAATTTACCTCGACAGGAATAAAGATACGAGTCTTCCTAAATGTAGATCTCATACAAATGAGATCCATTTTCTTCTGTACTGAGGATTCTTTGTTAGAGAAGGCACTGTGTGTATCTCCCATGTACCTCTGGACTTCCTCACTGTCTGAATGGGTTGCAGTTTTCAAGGCCAGGTATTCTAAATGAGACTGAAGTGTAAGACCTAAGAGGAGGAGGAGTTCAGGGAGATATTTAAAACATCTCAAAGTATTCATATAGCCACCATTAGTATCTCATTTTTTGTATTCTTGAAAGAAAGAAACTTGATTGAACCATTATTTTTTATCTGTAGTGTCTGTGTTCTCATACATAGAGTAAGGATCTAGTTTTGAGGTTTTCTGATTTGTGATTTGAGAATTCGCAGTGTGTAACTATTTGAAATATCTTGTAACATAGTAAGTGATTGAGAGATCTGAAAACACTTATTGGCTTCTGCTATAATCACATACTTAGAAATTAATTAGTGTTGCTGGCTATGTTAATATTTGCTTTTGTCTTCAGGATTGCAGAAAGGCTGTGGAGTCAGGAAGGTCTGAATTTTAATTCTGTTATACCTTCAGCTAGGTTAATTCTCTTTTCTGTTTCACTGCTACAACTGAATTAATATCTAGCTACACTCCAAGCTAAATATCAGAACAGGGAAAACAACAGCTAATTTCCATAGTTGTGTGCTATTGTACACAGTTTGTGCATCACCATTGGATTGCCTTATGGGATTTAAAATTGATATGTCACTAGTATTTGAAGGGAATATGACTCCAAATGGGTCCAGAGCCAGATAAGCAAAGGGTATAGCTCTTTCAGGATATTTACTGAGTATCTTGGTTTTTAGGTGAAGATAACAACCTTTCTGATATAAGTGGCGAAGTATTCACATCTTGCTCAGCTACGTGTAAGTCCAGCATTCTGTGAGGGTTACTTTACAGCATGTTTAACAGGTTGGGGAAATGTAAGGCTCCTGTCTTTGTGAAAGAATTAGCTTATCAGATTAAGAGCCTATTCGGAAATCTCTATCAGACAGTAT